CAATTAAAGTTTTCCGCGGATTCATCAACATAAAACGTTTCGCTCGTTAACTCAATGAGTATAGCCAGCACCGTACAAAAAAACGTCACTCGACTCGACTATGAAAAGCCGCCGTTGACGCGAGCAAAGGTCCAGCAACTTGTTTTTTTTTTTATTCGTATTCATTAGCAATGATGTTATAATAAACTTTTTCATCGTTCGCTTCGCTCGCTTAACGCGCAAGACTCGATGGCGTTCCATTTCGCGTTCTTCGCGCTTACACGCACTCGAGCACAGGCGTACTTATACAGGCCTGTTCAGCGCGCGCGCAACCAAACAAGTGCGACAGCGCAGTAGTACGAGGTCGGCGGGATGGGGGGGGGCGATTGGGGGTATAGGTAGAAGGGGTTAGAGAGGAGGTCGAAGCACTGTAACTCCTGTTTGCTGATAATTAGCGCATCCATCAGCCGCAGCAAGCCGCCAGCTAATGCCGATCGTACGTTATCGTTATCACGGCCTCCCCATTTGGTCCCCCGACCTCCCAATCCTTCTCTCCCTCCAGTATCAAAATCTATGCATCCACCCTCGACCCGCGCTTCTACTCGCAAACGTTCCGACGCTGCAAGCCCTCCTACCCACCCGCTACCCCTGCCGCCGATTCATGTTCAGGTATTAGAGCGCGACGATGCGGCGTCGGCGGCAACTTTGTCGATACGACCAATAATCTAATAACCAGTCACCGCCAACGCATCGTAAGTTATCTCAGGGGGCCCTGTAGATTTTCCACGACGTTTGCCCCTCTCGACTCGTTGGACACCGATAAACATCCGTCGTCGAGCGATCGCCGGATTCACATTGCTTTGAAAATACTCACCTCCTTTGTTTTCGTCCGCCGCCAATATATTCCTCGCCATTTTATTACGTTTCTGTGCGTCACGCTATTAACGCCAGCCTTATTTCGAGCGTGATTATGTGCAGTTTCACATTCGTTTTCGTATCCGCGAGTGCTGCAAATGGTTAATGAAGAATCGAGGGACGAGCGATGGAAAAAAACGGAGACTCGATGCTATTTTGTTGTTTACGTTGGCGATCGATTTCATCGTGAGTTTTCGTACGACAAGTCAGAATGTTTAATCTATTTTTAAATCTCGTCGTAGAAGTATGATGGAGGGCTTAAAATTTTGTATTTACATAGCTTTTTTTTTTTCTAAAAAATCGTGTATTTAATTTCTGTACTTCTACAGCAGCATTATTTTTTTTCTTCGAATTATTATGTCGATTAGTTGAAATTTTCAATATAAACATCATATAGGATAATTTTGCATTCGACACTGCACCTGAGCATAGTTTTAACAAAAAATACTTTCTTTTTTTTTTTTTAATAATATATCGTTAAGATTCCGGCTTCACGCTGAGATTATACAACGAAGATAATTTGAGTAAAAACCAAAAAAAAAACAAAAAAAAAAAACAAAAAAAAAAAAAAAAAAAAAACAAAAAAAAACAAAAAAACAAAACAAAACAATAGAAAAGAGAAAAACGACGATGGGCTTAGTTGGAAGAGCATCCATCGCGAAAATGAAAGATATGGAGTTGGATTTCCGCCCGAGTAAAACCGCGTGCCCGTATTTTCGAATTCCCTTATTTTTACGTAACAAATACAATGTATTATTATAAGGTCGTGTTATCTCTATAGTCTTCGAAAATCTTTACAAGTTATTTATTTAGAATTTTTTTGTTTGCATCCGAGCGAAGATCACAGATTTGACGCTACTCGTGTATAAAAAGTTTATGCTGGCAAGGTGGTGCCTTTGTAAAATGAAATGTATCAGATTATTTTAAACTGCCGTTATTATCGCGATGGAAAAATATTCGCAACGAATCCGCAATGGCGTCAGTGTCGGCTGTTCTTTACACAGACGTTGGCATGAACGAAACAACGCGCTCATGACAGTATTACGCTCGAGGGGTAAAAGTGCGCGCGCGCGCGCACGCGCTCGGTACGCTTGTATTCCATATTTGAGTGCGGGGAGTTACACCTACTCATATGTGTTCGATCTTATCGCGCGGTGTACAAAGGGAAGAAGGTATTGGGAGGTGAAAGGGAAAGGAGATACGAGCAAGAAAAATTAAGAAACCATTCGAGCGAGGGAGAGTGTGTGTGTGTGTGAGCGCGCGCGCGCGCGTGTGTGTCTGCCTTTTCATGGGTTTTTGTGTGTTTGTAAGAAAACTGTAGGTTATTCGCAAAGATGATAAGAATTTGATATTCTCATTTTTACGGAGAATTTTTTTAAAACTTAACCGGTCATAGCTATGTATTCGAGATCGAGTTATGAAATTGCTCGAAAGGAAAGAAAGATGGGCATTTAGGTAAGCTATTGCTACATATGCACGCAATGATTATTAGTGACAATCGCTATTATTATTATTGTAATGTCAATGCAGCACAATGACAAACGTGCAATAATCATTGTTACAAATGAAAATTTAAAATTTTAAATCCTCGGAAGGTCTCAAAAGTCATGATGTCCGGCATAAACAATTCATACCATTCATACGATTATTCGGAAATTAATATTTCTACATTTATTCATAAACCAAATGCAATTGAAATGAGAATATTGATAAAGAGGCTCGAAGAAACGAGTGGGAAGGTTTTATTCGATAGTTGCGATATTTATATTTAAGTATTAAACATCATAATTACGGAAAACAAATAAGAGGCAAAATACCTAGGAGAGTATTAATACAAACGCTACCTGAAAGTGCGAAAAGATATATATGTTCGTCTCGTATCCGTAATGATAAACTTACGCACAATTACATATGCGTAGTTGGAGTATTAAAAAAGCTTTTGAAAAAAATTAGTTAGACCGCCAATTTCGAACTTTCATCTACGAGGCAGATAAGCATTATCCATCATAAAATTCACCTGCGCACAGTGACGAACGGAGATAATAAATAATGGAGCGAGAGGGCGCGAGTTTGGAGGTTGGTGGTTGATGGGTAAGGGAGTGGTAGGCGGATTGAGATGGGGGGCGGGGGCCGAATGCACACGTATTCGACCATGGCCGAGCGCTGATATAGAACGACTAAACAGGCCGTAGATCAGCCGGGTTAGTTACAGCTTGCGACCCCGACGCTCCATTGCCTGACCAAATCCCACTGGTGTTCTGGATCATTTGCCGGCCCGCGGCCGCCGATGCGCACGTACGCGCAGGACTCGCGACGCGAGCGGATAAAGTCCGAGTCTTCTTCCTCTTTTTTCTCTCCTTTTTTCTCTTCTGCTTTCCCCCCCCCCCCTTTTTTTTTCCTTTGCGCCGCCCGCTAAGAGGAGGCAAGTAGCAATGCGCCGCCGTGCCCAGCAAACGTATTACTCGCGATTGTAATTGAGCGCTTGAGCGTTTTAACGGCGCGACGGCCGACTCGAAGAATGATAAGGATTTCAATCTGGATAGTTTTAATGCAGTGATCCATGTCTTTAGTGAATGCCACTGGAGTGTGCGATGTTTAATTAGAAACCAATTTGCTTGGAGTAGTGTGAATGTAGGGCCGCTGTGTCTGTGAGATGATAACGACTTGTAGGATCGTTTCCTTAATATAATTGTATTGTAAATTTTTATTAAATTTAATTTTCCTACAAAAATTAAATCGATGTAAATTTCATCGATGAGAAAGAAAATTAAACGCCACTCTATTTATACAAAAATACTACGTAATTCAACATAATTTCTTTCAAAGCTCCTTCTAATCCATTATCTTGATTATATCTAAATACGTATATGTGTAATACATATCGATATATCTATTGTGATGAATTTTAGTCTTGCATGCTACATTCCTTTTTTTTTTTAGCGCAATCGACAAATTTTCTTCCACTTTTAACAAGTGATTGATTTTACGGTGTAACGAGGTGTTGTGGTAGTAGTGAAGCGATGATTCGATGAATTACTACGATTACGTAGGTGAACGTTTTATTTGCTGAGAATTACGGTACAAGAGCCATTAAAAAGGACGTTTTATATATAAATTATTTGCTCGACGTTTGATTACGAATGAAAAAAAAAATCAAAGAAAATATTTATAAAAAGAAAAGAGAAGTGAGAATGTGCCCTTGATAGAGTTGTAAAATAAATTTCTAAGCCGGTCGAACCGACTTTCAGTCGGATTTTGTAAGTAAAAGGTTACTTGCGAATAAAGATAAACGGAGCACGTGGCGAAACAAAGTTAAACTTGAACGGGGATCGTTAACTTAGGTTAAATCAATTTAAGATATATTATTCGTGAACTTTGTAATGGAAAGCTTATTTATACCATACGGGATTCCGGTTGCGACGTTTCTTTGTCCAAAGCCGGAATAGAAACGCTTGCATATGTGACACTAGCGCGCGCGCGCGTGCGCACACACGCGCACACAGACACACAGAGTTGGCAAAGGTCAATCTCTGACGTTGCGTGTACGTAGTCGTGACTGTAATCTCGGGGGACTTCAGGCTTTACTGTACACCAGGATAGAAGATTAAACATTCAACGTATTGCGCATTTACCGGAGGCTATTTCCAATATTTCGCACTGGCGCTTTGACTACCTACGCGATACAACAAAAAGGATTTATCGTGCAATGAAAATGAAAAGTCGCACCCTCGAATAAAATATTTACGAACCCGTAAATTTTGAATTAAATAACGTACTCTGATGCGCTTTTAACTACTATAATAGTGTGATAAATGATTATTTAAACGAACCGTACTTTATGCAGATTTATTAGCGCACTGCAATGAGTATTATTGTCGGAGAACTGGCTCTGATTAAAAAAATAATATGAAAATTCCAATTCGATGAATGATTTTCTTGCATTTAATAATTAAGTCGTATGGATTTATGGACGCTTTGTCGCCTCTCTATACGCAAAGGGACTTTAACGAGTCGCGCTCACGTAAGAAGTAACCGACTTATAGCCAAAACATATATTACGTATAATCATTAGGGTGCTTTAAACGTTATATTGATTTTTGTTTCAGGTAAGGACGATATGGCTAAACCGCATTGGACCTGGTTGCAAGGTGAGTTGTGCTTTTTCGTTGAACCCAAAAAAAAAAAAAAAAAAAATAATAATATAACAAGAAAAGAAAGAAAAAAAAATCCAAAAAACAATCAAACAAACAAAACCTCTTCCTCTCACACATTTCCTAAAGATCCCATTATATGGCAAAAACTATCCAAAACGAAACCAAAACTTTATCTTTCCGCACCGCTTAATGTAATTTTAATCTCTGCCCTGAGGCGAATGGAAATTTATAGCTTCTTTCCCGAAGCCAAAGACGCGCGTTTCGTTCCTCAGTCTCACTACCGTGCACACTACAATTCGAAAAAGGAAAACCGCCATCCAGTAACCGCCATCGCACAATTCGGGGAAATCAAAAAGTGCCCGAAAAACCGTGCATAGGATGGTTTCAACCCCCTCCCCCCTCCGCCCTTACCCCTGGGCCGATATTATCCCCTCTCTCGCCGATAGTTTACCGCGTCGAGAAACAAGAAGAGACCAGCTGACTTAGAGATACTCGGGACAACATAGATGAACATATCGTCCCGACTCGCTCACCATCTCGTTCCAATCGTTCTTTTTTCTTGACTTTTTACGCGCAAGCAACGTTGAACAGCCACGGCCGTATGTGCCTTCGGGGGGCGGGGGGGGGGGGGATCGCTAAATATTGGCTCTCGGGGGGGAA